CGAAATACGCTATGTAGGTAGCTCATCGGTCAGTAAGGGTCGACTTCTCTCACTTTTGACGCCGATGGCTCTGAGAAGTGATTTATAACTGATATAACTGATAAAGATGTCAAGAAGCACGGGTTGCGGGGTATGAAGGTGAGATGATGTAGGTTTAGTAGTAGCGGACGAGCGCGGCGTCCCGGAGAACCAAAGCTTGAACATTTGTTTACACATCGGGGCGTCTTCAAGCCTTCGTTCCTGTTTTTCTCGGGCACAAATACCAGTCAGGGTTATTCTCGTCCGTGCGGCGGGAACCCTCATAGCGCCGTCAAGCTGGTGAGAGCCCGAGTTTTACATGAGGTTACCTTTCGGTTAGCTACGGCTTACAGCCAGCCGGCTGGCTAGGAAACGGCTAGTTGGGGCAGTAGATTGAAACGTAGGATATCATGCCCGTTGGATTATCAAGCATGTTATAGTCCGGTACACTAGGAGCTATTTCAGGGTCAAGAACAAAATCCTGCTACATATTGCTTATTTTTACTTGTCCTCTTGTTCTTTGTTTATGAAAGATTTCTAGCATGTTCCATCCATTGTCTCTTTTGTCACCGCATTCTCCTATGTTCCTAGATAGCTTAAATACAAGCCATCCTAGTTAGTATCACCTTAGGTATTTGCCAACTACCATAGAAATACTGAAGTGAGATACTTGCTACCTCTATTTAGTTTCTTTACTTATTGCATTTATCTAGTTATTATCCTGTCTAGGTAAATCAATATTTTTGGCATATACCATGCAAATACTGAGTTATTATAATTATCTGTATCTGGTATCTACCACTCTTATTTCTCACAAAACGTCATGTCACGTCACACCAGAACGTTACAACTGTTGTAATAAACCCGACTGCTATTACAATAAATGGTATTCAAAATTCACATCCGTTTGCTACATTTAACCTCAAAAAATTCAATCATCTTTCGCTCTCGAAGTGCTGGCTTCGCTGAAATAAATATGGCTGTGGCTGCCGGTCCAGCCGCAGCCCAACGGGGGCGGCGGCATAGAGCAGATGACACGTGCAAGCGTTTAACGTGTAACCCCCGCTTGGGTTTGGATAATTTCATCATTTCATCTTACGGTAATTATTAATGTATCAAATTATTTATCGACTACGCCAAACATAGCAGACAAGTCTAGACCAGGCCCCGCAAGTCACCACTTCACCACCACTTCACCTTCCATGAGTAGCGTACAAATTCCAACCAAGCACAATCCGAATCAGGTCGATTTTGAGTGCCCTTTGCTGCTCCCTCAGGATACCACGATACACAAATAATGATTTTCACTGGCATGTGGGACAAATTGAGACTTGGACGCTGGGTTAGGGCTCGAAGAAGCCGTCCGCGCTGTCAAAGTGCTGAAACGGGGCAATTGTAGAATACGGGGAGGCGTCGTGGCCGGAGATTAATTCGACCAACAATTCTCCGGACGGTTGCGAGCTGTGTGATAAGCAGGGAAGAAAAGGTGTAAGAAGCCTGAGAGGGAACTGCCGGTGATGTTGGCTGACCTCCGACAATGTTCACCACAGAGATAATTGACGCTAACCAATGGATAGCGTGAGGACTTACGAGTTACCAAACCGTTCCATCGCTTAACAGTGTGTCATGTGCGTCCCACCAGATCACGTCATATCGTTTGAGGAATATGGGAATCAGTTTCACTCGTGGCAGTATATCATAAGAATAGCCGTGCGGCACCATGGCGGAACGAATGCTTCTGACTTAAGCACCTTGTCACCTTGTCCAGAATTCTACTATCTTCGTGACATAAAGGGGGTACACGCTGATCATATTGGTGCCGTGTTGTGACTCCGTATCTCCGTATTGTATTTAGTGCATCCAGCTTTCCTTATAACATTAACGCCTAGATCTCACGAGACAGCTTGCCATTTAGCCCTCTCTTTCCACTATATTCCCTTTTTAATGCCTTTTATGAAAGGCCCTTCTACGAAATTTCTATTATTTATTTCTTTGGGCGTGGCAGCTGCCCCTCATCACGATTGTGCACACATAGAGACCGTTCCACGCAGTTTGTCTGGGTCGTGGTATCACCCAGAGTCCCATCCAGTCCGCGCTCTCTTCAAAAGAGACGTTCCAACACCCGGCTCCTCAGGTTTGCGCTCGAGTACTCTGCATTAGCCCTCTCGTTTGGTTAATTTATCCACCAGCGTGGCAAGCACAGTACCCACAAGTCTGGGCACCACCAATTCCTGAAACCACAACTCCCCCTTCGTGGCTAGCTGCCCTCAATGCAGCTGAGGCAGCAGGTCAAATTCCAGAGATTACCATTCCAACAGTAGCCTCCGGCCAGAACCCTCGGTATGGGCCAAATGATGACCCAACGGGCCCAAAAATTTGCTCGAGCACATTTGGATGCAGACAACCAGACGATGAGTGGGATGCACCTGACGGTCACGTAGCTATTGGCTTTGATGACGGGCCAACACTTGTAAATATTATTATTTGTTTTTTCCTCCCACCTTACCGACGGTGTAAAGGGCTCTGCGCTACTGTACTCGTTTCTTAAAGCACAAAATCTCTCAGCAACTCACTTTATGATTGGAATGAACATTCTCACAAATTATGCCTTGTTCAATAACGCCTTTAGCACCTTACAGAGTACGATAATTCTAACCTGTGTAGAGGTCAGCAGACTCACCATTAATATTCTTCTAGATGACATTGCAGGCAAGCTGGCTTTCGCCTTTCGAGCTTCATAATTTCAATCCTGAACTTTAGTTCATACGTGGACCCACCCGTACATGACCACTCAGAGCAACACCCAGATCGTCGCACAACTCGGATGGACGATGCAAATAATCCACGACTCCACAGGCGGTCGTATTCCTCGTTACTGGCGTCCTCCCTACGGGGATTCTGACAACCGTGTTCGAGCAATCGCCAAAAGTGTGTTTGGATTGACTCAGATTAATTGGAACCAAGAGTAGGCACTTTTAGTTCAAAAAAATGTCAAGGAGTGCTGATTGTGAATTATCTTTAGTTCTGCAGATTGGAACCTCGCCACCGGGGCAAGGACCCAGGCCCAGGTCGAAGGTGCACTCACGGGATGGTACTCTGGTAGGAGACTAACCAAGCCAATTTCGAAACCATCTAAATGTGACTCACAGGACCTAAATCCCCCGGATTAATCATTCTCGAGCACGAGCTTACCGATAAAACCTCTCAAGCTTTCATTGACACCTTTCCAGTTCTCAAATCTCACAACTGGATCCCCGTGTCCGCTGTCCAGCTTTTTGACGGGGCATATCAGAATTCGCCCGGGGCAACAGGTTCCGTGATGAGCATGGATGTCGGTGTGGCCGCTCCATCAGCCACGCAAAGTCTCGCCGTCCACAATAATAATATAACTGGGACTGGGGTATCTTCGGGAACACTTGCCCCCTCATCACCGACCACATCTTCGAGTCCTTCGAACAAGGGTTCGAACGCCAGCGTTGGATCCCTTCTTAGCCCAATGTTGGCATTAGCCAGCATTTTATGCATGCTTCTTGCGGGAGCATAAAGCGTGTGCGTTCTGTTCACGGTGTCACATGACGACAATCTTCATCATATTGAATACTCACACGTCAGGTGCTTGCACAGTGCCCACCAGGGCTCTAGCTGTCTATTTTCAACGCTTATCGACGCATTGCTTGTTTGTGACAATGGAGGACGCTTTTGGACGTTATTGCAATTCCCCTTACACTTCCCCTTTTTGTATCTTACATACTAACTGGATTGTTCTCCAATTTGACGACACTAAAACACATTGTATTAATATGGACACCAATCGTACATTGTTCTTTACACAATTTTCTAATTTGGGTGGCAGATACAGGCACCCAAAAGATTTTTTTCCCTGCCTCACAGAAAAAGGTTTCTAAAAATAGGAAACAGCAGAAACAGGACTTCCATGCTGTTTCACATGCCAAGGGTAATCTCCGTTATCCCCGCGGTTGACTGTCCAACAGGTAACTCGCACCGCCCGATGATTGTTTTCGAAATAAAAGCTTTGTTAAGTATGCGAGCATCAGAATTGAGAAATCACGTTCAAAGTCGTGAATGTTCTTTATGGGCCATAGCGTCCGACGACAAGGAGATAATTCCTTTTCACAGTTGAGGGGACAAGGACAATAGTAATGATTGTGTCCAAGCCCACTTAGCTCAACCCCTCCCCTGACAAGTCATGTAGATACACATGTCCAAATACTCAATAAAACAGAGTCGATGTAGCATAAGTCTGTACCACAAAACATATGGACCTAGGTGAGAACTCTCCACCTCCATCTCAAAGAGAATAGTCTCAGAAAAAATGTAAAGCTAAACTACCTTCCGAATCCAAATACAAGTGGAAGACTTGTCAGCAGTGGGGAAGGCTACATAAGAAGGCAAAGAGGAAGAATGACAAAGACAATGATGGACCAAGGTGTCAGGTAGTCTTGCAAGCATCAACAACAGAAAACCAAGGTGAGGAGAGACAGTACATCATCTGAATCAGAGAGTGTGAGTGATGGAACACTTTGCTGCTGCTGATTAATTAAAATAGGACTCACTATTGCAGAATTGCAAGCCTACCACTTTTGAGAATGGCAAGGAGCTAATGAAGAGCCTTTGTCAAGCATCTAAGACTAACAAGATGGTGTTCTTCTATGGATGTTACCAGAAGTTGGAAGATCCACTTATATCTGACAAGGAGCACATTCAAATGACTGCTTATGAGATCTGGAAGGTGTTAGGCTATCAGTTTTAGTGTGGATGTTACATCACTCCATTGTCAATCACTATATAACCATTTGGCAGTGTAAAGGAGAAATATCAAGATGGTTACTGGCCATAAGATGCACTATTGGTGCTGCCAAGATCAAGATAGAAAGTAAAAGGCATGGCCAAGCCAGCAGAAAGGGACCAAATCACAGGACACATTGGGAGTGCACCAATATATTAAAAGTGTAGAAAATGAATGGCCAGACTGGGGATTGAACCCAGGGCTTCTGCATATAGCGGGGGTGTTACCCATTACACCACCTGACCTTGGGAAACAGTGCTAGTATTACATTTAACACAATACCACTGCAAAAGCAGATGAAACATATCCTGCCATGATGATGATAGTGAAGGAACACACACCATCAATATTTGGCTTAGGGACAGCGAGCCTCATACACCATACTATGATGTGGCATTTCCTCCAGAGGCATCAGCCCTGATACAGCAGGATCTTGAATGGACAACTCCAAGCACCATTGCAAAAAGGTACAGAGCACATTTCCAAGTGTGACCACAATGCAGGTACAATGCTGTGTGGTCCACCATGAGCAAGATTCGGACCAGTTGCAGCAAGTATACTGCTATGGGAAAACAGTCAGAATGTTGACATCTTTGATATCTTAACCATGGACAATATTGAGCAATTAGCATGGGGAATGAAAAGAATCACCATGTGATTGTAAGGAAAGGTAGTTGATGTTAGGATCCCAGTTATTCAGCCCTCCACAACCTTGTTTTGCCCTCCTCACCCTCTGGCATCCTGTTAAGTTCCCGAACAAAGCTCCACGGATAGTCCTGCGGAGGTTTCCGGTAACTATTCCGAACACACACTTGCTTCCGGGAATAGTCCCACAGAGTCCCCGGGTAATAGGTCCCGGAAAAGTTCCGGGGATTATTAGTACAAGGAACGGTGATATCAGAATAATTACCAGAAAGTCTGGTGATACGACTGAGATGGACTTGGCTTCAGCTTATAGGCTGCACCCTCGTACACTCATTCGGGTGTCCATATTTCGAGCTGACAGAATGCATACAGAAAGATATAGATTCCGGAGTTCCCGTGGGAGTTCTGGGAATCGAGTGTGCAGACAGACAAGAGGACTAGAGACTGTTCAAGGATCAAACTTGTTCAGGGGAAAACTAGTTCAAGATTGAAACTGGATTCTAAGTACATGAATATAGCAGACTTATATAGACTGTGAAATGTAATAATACCAAATCCAGTATTAATGAGAGGCAGAACTATTAAACATAAAACGAAACAAGTAAATACTAAACTGGGAATTAGGGACGGAACAGAATGGGAGCAGAGAACGAATCATGACAGATCATTTAACCATAACTGGAGCGGGGCTCAGTTAGAGGGGTTCTGGAAGTCCGGTGGGAGTCCGGTGACTTGGTGCACAAGATAGTGTCGGGTATAGACAGGCTTGATGTGCAGGAGGTCCGGTGGAGTCCCGTGGGTTTTCCAATGACTGGTGTGTGAGACGCAGAGACAGATAACAGGAGCGGGGTTCTATGCTCTGTTAGAGGGGTTCCAGGAGTCCGGTCGGAGTCCGGTGACTGGTACATATTACACAGAGTGTCGGGTGTACATAGAGTGGAGTCCAGAGTCCGGAGGAGTCCGAGGACTGGTGTATGAGACACAGAGGGTTAGGTGCAGACAGGTGGGGTGCGTACAGAGAGTCAGGCATAAACAAGTTGACATGCGGGCTCCCGTGGGAACTCCGGTTGTTACTATACAATATAGAGGGTCGGGAGCATGTAGGACGGGGTCTGGGGGCCCGGAGGCCGGCGGGTTTCCCGGTTCCTGACACATCCCACTATCAGTACCCCTGACCATGGTGTCACTGCCTATGGTGCCCTGATGCCTGGTTCATGGTAGCTTTCCCTTTTTATCATTCTGTTCCATCTCCATCTTACCTCATATTCATTTGTGTTTTGATCCTTAAACCTTTCCATGCTTCCTTTGACCCATCACTACTTCTTGCTTCCTTGGTCAGACCTTTGCTCATCTGTTATACCTTTGTATAAAGTTCCTACCATGTATGCTACTACTCCTTAGTTCTGACATTGACTTAGATTACCCCCATTTAGTCTTCAGTCTACTTACTCCCTCCTAATACTCTCTAAGGTGTCATTGGCCAGCTGTGACCCTCTACCTTATGACTCTTAGTACAGTACATATATCAGCCCCCCAGTCAAATGAGCTAAGTGTTGTCTTCAGTTCTTACATATCATACTATCTGCTCTGTTTGAAATACCAGAGCACCTTAACAGTTCATATGATGGCACAACACATAAGTTGAAGCCAAGCTCCATCTATTTATAGAGTCAGACCTCCTGACTAGTGCAATCTCTATTGTTGGCCCCCTGACATAGAGCCTCCTCTTACCCACTTGCTTAGATCTTAACAGATGACAACAGTGGCAGTTAGCAGTGACAGTGGATGCTGGTGGTGACAGTGGATGCTGGTGGTGACAGTGGATGCTGGTGGTGACAGTGGATGCTGGTGGTGACAGTGGATGCTGGTGGTGACAGTGGATGCTGGTGGTGACAGTGGATGCTGGTGATAGCTTGTGTGGCAGTAATAGCAATGGTGGTGGATGACATTGATGAATGGTGCTAGTAAAAGTGGCTAGTCATCTGTTCACAATGCATTACTGGCTGATAATAAGTGTATTCCCTATCTTAATGAGCTGTTTTGAAGAGTATTAAAAGAGTGGTGGAAATGCAATAGAACTCTATTCACTTGCCCTTAAACTCAAGATACCAGCACTCCTCCTTATACATGTAAGGCATAAACAAAGAGTCTGAAGCTGCAGAGGAGGTTTTATCTTCAAATGCACCCACCTGGATCCCCAGAAATAAAAGATGGCTGAGTGGCATAGGTAATGCAGAAACATGTTGTAGATACATTGGTGCTGGCTGGATGGGAGTTGTAGGTCTTATAGCTATAGGAGTGAGAGTTACAGTACACCTGCTCGTAATGCATGGCATGGCAATGCATAAATTAATACTGGATTAAATTTAGTCCAAACCATCATGGTTTTCAGGGAATTTTGCAAAAAATGACATATTTCACATGTTAAGATCAGGTGTCTACACCTAACCATAATATTGGAACTGGAGTCAGTAAATGTTGGGAAGGACTTGGCTTCAACTTATGTGTTGTGCCCCCACTCACCATTCAGTTGTCCTTATTTTAGATGAATGGAAACTTAGCATATTTTCAGGATTGAAGGTTTTCCTAAGGATAGTATTCCAGATGGAGATCAATCAAAAAGTGTCAGTAATATAACTGATGAGAAACCCAGGATTAGGGGTGATGCAGATGGCAAACAAATCTGAGTTGATATTCAGATTGGTTCATAAATACAGAACTTGTCTAGGAGTTATTGTACTAGCAATCCAGACACACAACAAGGATAGAGTGTGAAAAGGGTGAACAACAAGACCAATAAGAGAAATCAGGAATGGGGATCTTGGTTTGCAGGAGTACACCTGATGTTTTCGCATGTCATGGTGTGATTGGAAATGTAGTTGGGTACCAGAAATACATCTTGATGTTATTGTATAGGGACCGGAATAGTGCAAGCTCTGAGACAAGAGTTGTCGAAGTTATGTGAGGCATGAGGATTGAGATCCAAGTCAAGGCTCAGGTCGGGTTCAATATTAGGCCTCGACAGCATAAGGCATCAAGGTTAGGGTCAGATTATGCAATAGTAGATAGCCTTGTTTGGAAGGTGCTCCGCGGCTAACTTGATAATCTATTGCTGCAAAAGTCAGCAAAAAGCAAATAGTGAAGTTTAAAAATGCCCCAGAAAACTCTCTGAGACTTGATATTCCTCCTTCATGCCTGGAGAGCATTTCAAGTCCGAAAGTCAGGTATAGCATACTTATTAGTGTCCTTGTAATACTTCCATAATTTAGTTAATTTTAATCTAAAATCCTTAATCTAAAATCAAAGAGAGGGAGTGTGCGGGATACAGCTGTGGCCTGATTCCAATCTCGGAATCTCCGGTACTAGTATAAGAAAATTCCGCATTTAATTCTGTCTCATAGGAAGGGATTTAGATGAAATACTCGCAGAGTATAGTGACATATAAAGTAGCATAATACATGACTTTTATCTTCAGCCAAACTTGTCAAACGGAATACTATCAAATCATTGATTCTCTTCATTGCTTAGCCCTCAACGCGGCAGCCTGAGCTTGTAGCGTTGAGCTGACAATCGGACATCCCTTACCTGGACCGTGCAAGTTCTGCAAAGATACACTGGCAGTATTAATACGTTCCAGTTGGGAAGCGACACTGTTATCTATGGGGAATGAAACTTTGACGGTGGGGTTGTTGACTGCATGACCAGCGGCTACATCTGCTTGGACGGATCTGAGGAATGTCTGCCTGTCTGGAGGGCATGCACAGGGAACTTTGATAGGCTTGCCATTTGCACCATTCACGGCACCGTCACAGTCTCCCGTGCCTGTATATGATGGTGAATACAATAAACAGGGAAAGAAGTGGGATTCTTACCGGTAGGGTTCTTACCGGCTGTGAAACCGAGATCTGGAACGAGAGCAGGGTTGAAACCATCCGCGGCGGGGGCGGAGGAAGCCACTGTTTTAGATGGTTTATCTTCCATTAATACTTCCTTTCAAACTCAAATAAAACATACCTTTGCAAGCTGGGGGAGTTGGCGTAGGGGCAGCAACGGGAGGTGGTGGTGCTGTGCCAGCATGGATCGCTTCAGCTTGCGCCTGCAAAGTCGTGCTCACAATCGGGCATCCCTTACCAGGACCGTGCAAGTTTTGCAAAGATACACTGGCGGTATTAATACGTGCGAGTTGAGAAGCGACACTATTATCCGTGGGGAATGAGACTTTGACGGTGGGGTTGTTGATTGCATGACCAGCGGCTACATCTGCTTGGACAGACTTGAGGAATGTCTGGCTGTCTGGAGGACATGCACAAGGAACCTTAATAGGCTTTCCATTTGCACCATTCACGGCACCGTCACAGTCTCCCGTGCCTGTATATGATGGTGAATATAATGAACAGGTAAAGAAGTAGTATACCTACCGGTAGGGTTCTTACCGGCTGTGAAACCGAGATCTGGAACAAGAGCAGGGTTAAAACCCCCCGCGGCGGGGGCAGAGGAAACCACTGTTTTAGATGGTTTAACTTCCATTAACTTTTTTTATAAATACAGGCGAGAGATACCTCGAGGTGGGGCAGGGGCGGGTGCAACGGCGGGGGGCCGT